AGAGAGAGAGAGAGAGAGAGAGAGAGAGAGAGAGAGAGAGAGAGAGAGAGAGAGAGAGAGAGAGAGAGAGAGTACTTGTCTCCCTGTCCCTCCCTTTCGGTCTGCGTGAAGCAGGTCCTGGTCCAATTCAACTGCAGCCCCAGGCGATGTCACATGGGAACCCTAATTTTCAATGGGATGTAGCTTTTTGACAGCGCGCCGAGGAATCCGGGACCGGCCCTTTTTCGAAGAACGAGAAAAGAGCGCTCTCTTTGAAAGGATGAACTTGCAAATGAACTAGTTCCGATTCTTGTGATGATCTCTCTCTGTCTCTCTCTGTCTCTCTCTCTCTCTCTGTCTCTCTCTCTCTCTCTGTCTCTCTCTCTCTCTCTTGTGATCTCGACTGACCGTTCCGATTCTTGTGATGATCTTGTCCGATTGCGATGATTGAGCTGTCGTTATGAGAGCAAGAGTAAGGTGTTTACCGCCTACACTTGTAGCCTTAGCTACCGTCTTACCCCGAGCACAACGCACGGTCATTGTGATTGTATCGGGCCGCAAACATACCTTGTATACGTTCATTTTCAGGGTGCGTTATGTTCGGGGGAAGAGGATAACACGTGGCACTGCTCGCAAAATACACTTGTGATTTGCTCTCACTAGGCGGTTGCGCGGGTATCGTGATTGATTGGTCCCGACTCCCAATCAATCGCGATCGCTGGTGGTTGGGGGTGGGATCAATTACACGTAATTATGAGCATGGCCCCTGCGCAAGAAGATCTCGCGTAAATTCGAGAAATGGTCCGAACGTTACCAAACAACCAAAATTTATAAAATAAAAATAAATAAAAATAATAAAAAATAAAATAAAATAATCTAATCTAAAAATAAATAATATAATAAAAAAAAAAAAAAGATCGATAGGATCTGAAGACAGCGAGGCAGAACGGGATATCAGAGGGACGAAACATTTCTTGCCCACCATTTTATTGATCTCTTTTTTTCTTTTTTCTTTTTTTTTCCTTTTACCCACCATTGATTTCCTGCCTTCAGACACGAATCATGGACACGCGCTGAAAAATCCGCATTGTGAATAATATACGCACGAGTTCCCGCTCTCGATTCGAAAGCAGATTGCCCCTTTTTTTCCCCAACGTTGCACGCAAGTCGCCACCACCTTTGGAACCCCCCCCCCCCCCTCCAGAGTCCGAACTCAAACAATGTACACCGCAGCTGTCAAACTCCTGGAAGTATTGTCTTCACAAAGACTCCATAGTCCATCAGAGTTCCTTGAGTCTCTACATGAGGTACTCTTATCTGAAAAAGTCTTAACTGAGTTGAGCTCAAATGCGCTCTGTGAGTCCAAGCTAGTTGGGCCGATGGGTTAAGCCTACCGAGCTTGAGTCCAAATGAGGGGTGATGAACTCAACTGCTGTCATTGAGTCCAGCTGAGGGGGAGCTGACCGAGTTCATGAACGTGCTAGGAGGAAGAAAGGTGAGGAGAGGGGGAAGAGGAGGGAGGATGCGGAGGAGGGCGAGAGGTCAGAGGAGAAAGGAGGAAAATGCCACTGATGATTATGGTGATGAAGATGATGAAGGTGGTGGTAATTATTGTGATGATGAGCGTGGGAGGAGGAGGAGAGGAGGAGGAGGAGGGAAGGGGAAGGAGGAGGATGCGGAGGAGGAAGCGATGTCAGAGGGGAGAAAGGAGGAAAATGTCACGTGATGATGATGGTGGTGGTCGTTATGGTGATGATGATGGAGGTGATGGTGATTGGGTGTGGGTCAGTGTGCAATTGATTGAGATAATCAGGAGCGGGACCTGGTGGGAGAGGAGAAAGGAGGGGAAGACAAGTTATGATTATGATCATATTGGGGGTGGTGGTAGTGGCGGCGGCGATGATGATGACGATAGTTATGGGTCGGGGATTGAGGGGGTAGTAAATTGGGTGCGTGATCGGTGAAGCTGAGGAAGACCGTGGTAAGAGAGAGGCGGGGAAGAGGAGCGGGAGAGAAGTGTGGAGAAGAAAAAGGAGGAAGAAGTGAAAGTATCAGAATAGGAAGCAGTGAGGAAGAGGAGGAAGGTTGTCGGAAGGGAGGAAGAGAAAGGAGGAGCAGAGGAGTGCGGAGGAGGAGGAAGAAGAAACAAAGGAGCAGCAGTGGGAAATGCTGCGGAGGGGCAGAATGCAAAGGAGGAAGAGGAGGAAGAAGAGGAGTCCAGAGGAGGAGGAAGGAGGTCAGACGGTGGGCAGAGAAAGGAGGAGCAGGGGAGTGCGGAGGAGGAGGAGGAGGAGGAGGAGGAGGAGGAAACAAAGGAGGAGCACCGGGGAATGCTGGGGAGGAGAAGAATGCAAAGGAGGAAGAGGAGGAAGAAGAATAGTAAGAAGTGCAGAGGAAGAGGAGGAAGGAGGTCAGACGGTGGGCAGAGAAAGGAGCAGGGGGGAGTGTGGAGGAGGAGGAGGAGGAGGAGGAGGAGGAGGAGGAGGAAGAAGAAACAAAGGAGGAGCACGGGGAATGCTGCGGAGGGGCAGAATGCAAAGGAGGAAGAGGAGGAAGAAGAATAGTAAGAAGTGCAGAGGAAGAGGAGGAAAGAGGTCAGACGGTGGGCAGAGAAAGGAGGAGCAGGGGAGTGCGGAGGAGGAGGAGGAGGAGGAGGAAGAAGAAGCAGAAGAATAAACAAAGGAGGAGCATGGGAGATGCTGCGGAGGAGCAGAATGCGAAGTAGGAAGAGGAGGGAGAAGAGTGTGGTGGGCCCCACCATAGTAGGAAATGTACGTTCGAAGGGAGTGCTCGAGACTTCATGGAACTTTCACTATGGTGTCGACCAAGCGCTATTTTGCGTTGAATGACCAAACGAAATCATGATATGGGAACCTCCGGTTTTTTTTTTTTTTTTTTTTTTTTTTTTTTTTTTTTTTTACTGATATGGCAATCCGTGATCACTGAAGATTGCTTGCACGTACAGTAAAATGATTACAAAAGAGAGACAAAAAACGATCATCAAGGATCGCCAACCTGTAGGAGCGGGTAAAAGCTTATCGGCTGTGTCTCTGTACAAAACTCACTTTTTTTTTTCCAGACTTCCAGCGTGTTTTTTTTTTTTTTCCACTTTTTTCATCTTTAACTCGGCCACGTCACCGAATCAGAAGCCGATCACCAACGAGCCTATCTCAGTTGTTGGTACGTCCACTAACTGTTGAAATATGAATCAGACCCAAGTTCGGATCCAGATTCAAACAGATGACCCGAAAATTCTGAATTACCTGCTGTGGCCCCGGTCAGTTTAAAAAAACGATGATGATATAAAAAATGATGATGATATCTCAAACAGATGACCACCGTCCCCCTTTCAAAACGGAATCAGAATTTGATCAGCCAGCCCCGGTCGAAAAATGGCGGGCAGAATATTAGAGGGGGTTGATAACAGAGGGGGTCGAAAATTGGCGGGCAGAATAAGAGGAGGGGGTCGAAAAATGGCGGGCAGAATAAGAGAGGGGGTCGAAAAACGGCGGGCAGAATAAGAGAGGGGGTTGATGAATGGGTGTCGTCTTGAGGGGTGTCATATATGTGGCGTGTGCTGGCACTGCGGGTAGGACAAGAGAGATGGAGGGCGATTCTACCAGGGGTGCAATAACACAGACCATATATGACAACTCTGATCAGTCCGGGGGGAGGAGGGGGGGGGGGGGGGGATCACCAAAAACGACATGAGAAAAGAGTATGCCTGTCTGTGTGTCTCTTTGGCCTGCGTGTTCAGTTCCTTTCCTGATGTGGTTGTCTCTGGGGCTTATCTCTGGGGCTTCCCTGTCTCGTCTCCGTGTGTTCTTTCCCCTCGCTAAAAAGGCAAATACAGATGATGACGATGCCGCCCCCACCTCTCTCTCTTCCCTTTTCCCCCCTTCTTTTTTCTGCTCTCCTCTCTATTTTCCCTCTCATTTCTCTCTTATCTCTTCTCCTCTTCTCTCTCTTCCCACTCTTCCCTCTCTTCCCTCTCTTCTCCTATTTCTATCTCTTCTCCTCTCCTTCGTGTCTCCGCTCTGTCCCATGTCTCACGTTTCCTCTCTGCCTGCAACGTCTGTTTCGTCCTGGGATTGTTGGTTAAGTTCTTTTTTTTGGCTCTGGATTTTCATCACCTTATCCTTGCGTTGACATTGCATCATGTGTTCGTTAACGTTGTATTGCTCTGAGGGATCTCTTGGTTCTCTCTTCGTGCTCGTCGTGTGAATGTTTCACTCCGTGAATTGTTGCATTCATATACCCTGTGTACTCGATATCTCCGGCGTCTTCGCTCTGAGGGATCTCTTGGTTCTCTCTTCCTCTCTTCCTTTCCCCCTTCCCTGGAACCCAAGTGCTCTTCCGAGCCTAAGCACGAGCCTTGGGTTCGAACCGGGCAGCAAATGCTCTTATGAGCCTAAGTACTTAGGCTCGTAAGAGCACTTGGGCTGTGATGGGCAGCAAATGCTCTTATGAGCCTAAGTACTTAGGCTCGTAAGAGCACTTGGGCTGTGAACTGATGGTATAGAAACAAGCCTCATAAGAGCACTTGGGTTCGAACCTGACCCAAGTGCTCTTACGAGCCTAAGTACCTAAGTACTTAGGTACTTAGGCTCGTAAGAGCAGTTGCTACCCTGTTCGAAGCCAAGGCTCGTAAGAGCACTTGGGTTCAAACCTGGGCGGGTAGCAAAAGCGGCAGGTCAGTTCGAAAAGGCACAGTCGCAGAGTCGCAGGCTTGGGAGGGAGCCTTGGAAAGCACAGCTTCGTCCACTTAGGCTCTCGTATGAAATGGCTGGTGGTTTATTATGATCTGTGTGCTATCTGATATATGCATGATTGTCTTTGCCGGAGGCGTTACTATCGTTACGACGGTCAATAGCAATAGCACGATTCGAAGGTTTTGCTTTTTTTCTCCCCCTTTTCAATTGGAATTTTTTTGGTAGGATCTATAGGGTAGTTTCCTCTTTTGTCTTGTACATTTTGGTTTAGGGTGGCTGTGTAATGATTTTTTCTTCTGATTGCTGCTGAAAAGTTATGTCAATCGTTTGGAGTTTGTTCTGGCAAATTCGAAAGTGGAAAGGTTTACCTGCATTTTCCGGTGGGATCAGAAGGGCAGAGCCTGCTTGCTGTATGCGGCTCCTGAGCTTGCACTTCTTCTCTGGCGGGTGCTCTTTGTTGTCTGTCTCTCTCTCTCTCTGTCGGATCACAGAATTTTCCAATTGTATGTGTACAAGCGGGAGGTGTCGACTTCTGTGCTGTGGGATTGAGTGAGCACTGGCTATGGCTTCCTTAGCGTCGGTGGTTGGCACGTGCCTTTTGGGCCGAACTGGAAGCGGGGTCTGTGCAAATTGTGTACGGGGTGACTTGCAGCAGCAGCAGCAGCAGCATCGAGTACCGACGGGCGGGGTTGCGCAGGCAGCAGTTGCCGGGCCTTCTCTCAGGGGGCATTGTTTTCCTGAGAAGTGGACACTGGCGTCGCAGTTGGTTGGCGGCAGACGCTGTGGTGGGTGTTCGACGCAGAGGAGGAGGGGATCGCTTGTCGTTCACAATGGATTGTTCGGCGGTGGAAAGAAGGAAGATGAAGAAGGCCAGGAGGGGGGAAGCAAGAAGGGCGGCATGTTCGGGAACATGTCTGGCTTGATGGATACTGTGAGGAAGGCTCAGCAGATTGTGCAGGTGGAGGCCGTTAAGGTTCAGCAGGAGCTCGCCGCTGCCGAGTTCGATGGGTACAGCGAAGGGGAGCTGGTAAAGGCGGTGTTGACTGGAAATCAGGAGCCCTGTCGGGTGGAAATCACGGAGGAGGCGATGGAGCTGGAGCCAGAGGAGCTCTCCCGGCTCGTGACGGAAGCGTACAAAGACGCCCATCAGAAGAGTGTGCAGGCAATGAAGGACAGGATGAAGGATCTAGCCCTCAGTCTGGGCATGCCCCCAGGTCTCACCGGTGGGGGGAACTCCCCCAACTAACTGCATTGCTACTTGTGCTGACAAGGGGCGGAGACTCCCCGTTAATGGATGTTGGAGCTATGCTTTTTTTTTGCAGTGCATATATTTTTAGGAGCCGTGGTAGTCTATTATTCTTACCAGCTGTAGTGTCGTCTGCCCGGTCGTACCGGGGATAGCGTTGTGAATGGGGGAATCAAAGGGTGGAGTGTTATCTCTGTGTTGTCGATCCGGTGCTGTTATCTCGTTGCCAGTTTTGCTCTCTCTCTCTCTCTCTCTCTCTCTCTCTCTCTCTCTCTCTCTCTCTCTCTCTCTCTCTCTCTCTCTCT